CTGCGGGACTACAAACAATGTTTTATAACCTAACTTGCTGAAATGCTTTGCTATATGCGATTTACCACCACCCGCGTATTTACTTCTTATAATAAGTGGGTTATGTTGCGTGATTTGTTTTGCGATGGTTTCGGTGTCCCACTCGTCTTTAATTTCTAGTGTTTCGTTGGTATATTCTGGTATAGTTGTTAATATGTTTTCTTTCATTTTGCGTTGCTCTGTCGGTGGGATTATTGATTTACCTTTTTCGTGTCTCCATCCTCCGATATTATTGTTAAATGTTATTGCTTTCTTCGCCTTGCTTAAGTGCTCGTGCCTAATTACAAAGGCATCAGTTTTAACACTCCATACATCAACTCCATTTTTAATTAAATTTGTATAATCCTCTTGTATTTTATGGTTATGGATTTGTAGAAGTAACTCCTTTATGTAAGTATATCCGTTTCTTAATGCCACCCTGTCGGTCACCGTTAAGCAGTAATATTTTCTGTCCAATTCCTTGTCGTCTTCGTCGTATCCGGTGATTTTGTTAATCTTGCCTCCCACTTCTTGTTGATAATATAACGCTTCCCGAAGACTGTCAAAGGCAAAGCTTTTTGAAGATTTGTTCGTTCCCTTCTCTAACAATCCAAAATTTACATTTGCTATAAGCTTCTTGATTTTAGCATCTTCTGGATAATGGTCTGATATCTCGGTTGCCCATAGTTGTTTAATAAGCTTCGTGTAATTCACCTTATAGACTCTAGAAGGCTCTTTATAATGTAGGATTTCGCATTTGTCGGCGTAGTGCTTCAGAAACTTACCATAGACTAAACAGTGTGTCTTATTAAAAAATAACGCTTGTTCTTTAGGTTTCACCAAAAACAAAGTCAGTTCGTGAAACTTGCTGTAATCGTGGGCTTTGTAATTGAAATGCTTCCATATATCAAACTGATTAAAGACGGGAATCTCGGTAATTTGGTTGAAAGCGTGGGTGTAAGCTTTTCTTACATCTATTTCGGTGGTTGTTTCAGGCATAAACCCGTATTTGTCGTATTTCTCGGTTCTTTGGTTAAACACCTTGTAGAATTTGTTTATTTCTCCCACCGGCGGGATTGTTCGGCATTCCTTCAGAATTTGTATATCGGTTTCGTTGTAATAGGATTTATGTAAGGGGTTAAACAATGCCTTATTGAATTCATACATTGCTTTAGACATGTTGTTATAAATCTGCTCAGTCCTTACCGTTATAGTTCCATCAACGGAGCTCGTCACTAGATTTTGGGTTTTAATCCTGTATCTTATGTTCTTCTTTTTTATGTAGAATTTAAAATATAAATCGGAAACGATACAACCAGTAAATCTCACTTGTGGCTCATACCCTGCCATCTTGCTTTCGTAAAACAAATGGGTTAAATCATTACCATCATATATTAGCGTATAATCGTCTTTTTCTCTGAATTTCTTAAGGTCATTTAATGACTGTATCATTTTACATTCAGTGGGTTCTTCTTTCTCGTTAATATGATAATCTGGGGATGCCTTAACCGATACATCTTGATTCTCGCGGATGGCCACCATTTGTCGTAACATTTGTAGGTTGTCGTTTGCTGTGTAGATATGATTATTTTTAACTAGGGCGTATAATGTTGGTATATGGTGGTTGTATTTGGTCGGCGAGTATTTGAAAATCGGCTTTATGAATGAGTTAAATATCCTTACTTGAATACCGTAGTGTTCAAACACCGGCACCATATCTTGTATTGATGCCCCGTTCGTTTTGAAATCCTCTTCGGTCTTATTCATCAGTTTTAACATACTTTCTTTTGTTAATCTGTTCTTCTCTCGTCTTTTTTCACCCATTAGTGTATCCCTATACCAATCGGTTATGGTGTTAAACCAGCACTCGTTTTCTTTGTAATGCTTTACATTTATTGCTTCCTTAAAGGTTTCAAACTCGGGGTCTAAAGGCGTTTGAATGTAGATGTTATACATACTTAAATTGGCGGTATTTGTTAGTTTCTCCTGTTCTGGCTTAAAGTCTGTATCACCATCTACCCGTTCAAGGCTTTTAATTTGAATACATTCCATATATTGCGATGTATGATATAGGTCATCTTCTAAAACTGGGTCTGTGTTGAGTGTATCCATTAACTTTGTAAATGTGTTTTTCGTTTCCTTATCATACCTAAAAATTCGTTTCCCCACCAAGTCCTCTATGTATCTGGTGGATGTTACATTTGCGCTTTTAGGTTCTTTCCAAAAGTAAATTAAAGGTCGGCCTTTGTGGTCTTTGAAAGCGGTTTTAATAGCGTTGTCTTTTTCTAACTTTAATTTATAAAACATTACATCTATAGAGTAGATGCTGGTGCTATTTCGTCTTTTGTTTTCCTTCTTTGCTTCCCGCATTCGTTGCCCGAGTGGTTCTTTGTCGTGGTGTTTGTCGTGGATTTTGTCGTATGCTGTGTTTGCCTTCGTCTTTTGTTTGTCGGTTTTTGCTGTTATAAACTGTCTGATTAAATTGTCCGCGGTGGTGAATTGCGCTATTTTACGGTCTTCATAAAAGTTAATTAGATTTTGTATTTTTTCTCTGGTGCCTTGTGTGAGGCGATTTTTGTAGTTGTCGTAGGTTGTTTGTAGTGCTCTCGTGTTACGCTTAATATTTTTGCTCATATACAATATAATTACAATATAAATTAAATTTTCTTTTTAAATACTTTTTCTAAAGATTTTCGTAATATATTTAGAAACTTATTTAAAGAAATAGTATAAATATATAGTATAGTAATATGACACATTTTAAAAGTCCCGAGGATATGACAATGGACGAGATTAAGCAACAACTGGCTTTGTATCAGAGGCTTTATTACAATAAAAGGAAAGAAGACGAGCAATTTATGCTGAAGAAGCGCGAGGCAAGTTTAAGGCACAACCAAAAAAAGAAACTTAAGGAATACATAGAAGAAAACAATTTAAGCGAGGAAGACTTAACACCAAGTCAGATTAATGAAATCATTACAGATAAGAAACCTAGCGGAAAGAAACGCGGAGCTCCCAAATACGATATGAATGAATACAAAGTGATTATGCCTAATGCCGTTTAAAATGATGATTTAATTAATTATATTAAATCATTATTTTTTGTTACTTATTTATATGAGTGAGAAACAGAAAATTATTAATGATGTATATTTTGATAGAGCCGGTTATGGTTCAAAACAAAGGACTTTAAGCGAAGCACGGGAGAAGGACAAAACCATAACAATGGGTGATATTAACGAGTTTTTTAGAAAGAATGTTGAGCAAAAAAGAAGGCCGGTAGGTCAAAACAGTTTTATCGCCCCGTATTCCGCTTATGAATATCAAATGGATTTGTTTTTTATAAACGATATGGATGAACAAAAGTTTAGGGTAGGTGTTTTGATGATTGATGTTTTTGATAAGTTTATGTATGTAGTGCCGATAAAAAGCAAACAAGAAGGAGATGTAGCGAGTGGGATGATTGAATGTTTAAATAAGATGGGTAAGAAACCTCAAATAATTTATACGGACGATGAAGGCGCATTGAACAAGGAGGCAATACAAAAGTATTTGAAGGATGAGAACATAGAACATCATAGAACGAGGGCGCACCCAAATTTTAGTGAAAGAGCCATCAGAACTTTTAAAGATATGTTGTATAAGAGGGTTGAAGCGGATGAGAAAAAAGGAAAACAAAACATCCAATGGCCGGACTACATATTAGAAATATTATTGACCTATAATAATCAAATGAAGCACTCGGCCACAGGATTTACGCCGAAAGAAGCCCGAAAGCCCAGTAATCAATTCAAAGTGAAACTAAATTTAACGATGAAGGGCAAGAAGAACCGCGTTTATCCTGAACTAAATGTAGGGGATGAAGTTAAGATATTTAGGAAGCGAAAACCAAATGAAAAAGAAAGAGTGGGAAATTACAGCCAAAATATTTATACAATAGAAAGCATTGAAAACAAATTAGGTCAAAATTATTACAGAGTTGAGGGCAATACTAGGCAGTATCTTCGTTTTGAGTTGTTAAAAGTTTAATAATCTTATGAATTAAATTTCTAAAGAAAAAACCATCTAAAGAAATAATACCTATATATATTAACAGGAAAATGTTCAAGTTTGAAAGTTGTTGGAAGTGCGAAGAAATGAGCAATGTAAAGGTGTTAAATAGCAAGTTGCCGATTGATATATGTAATCGTGTATGTGAATATGATAAATGCGATAAGTGTAGGAAGAAGATAATAGAAATGGAAGATTTTGATGAAAACCCCAGATTTTCAAAACTAAACAAAGTTCAAAAGATAATAATACACATTCTATATCGTAACCATGACATTGATACAATTATGGACAGGCGCAAATACAAAAACATCATCAAAAGGTCAAATAACCCACTGCGGAAGATAATGAAGCACTTTGTAAATATCAGAAACCATTCAGACAGGGAGCGTTTTATGTTTCACGGTGTATGTCATGCTAGTTTATTATATAGTGTCATAAGCCGTTTATCAGACACAAAAGTTTTGAAGGAAATCGCATATTATAAGATTAAAACCGCTACTATTAGATTTAACGGTTTTGAAATTAGTAAGGAAGTTATAGTAAAGGAAATAATACGCGAATGTTTTGATTTTTGGCTGGTGGGTTGGAGGGATTATTACAATACAACAACCGAAGAAATTATGGAGTATGTAGAGTATGTGTTTTCGCTATAGTTTCGCAACTATAACATTATTTTTCTTATAATGTTATGTTTGTAACCATCCTAAACCCTAAAAGTCACTACACCCGACGTGTCAAAATTGATTTTGGCGTTTTTTTTGCTTTCTGCTTGTTTTTGTATGGGTTTTGCCTATATTTTGAAGGTGTTTTCGTTTTTTTGGTCATATCAAACCCCTTTGAGTTGAAAATTTGAGGTTTATTTTTTGTTGTATTTTTGTTTTTAATAGTTTTATGATTTTTATGATTTTTTATTTGTAAAATATGTATTTTTATCCAAGGCACTGGTAGTCGTAGAAGTCGGTCACTGTGTCCGCAGTGGTGTCGTAGAGCACGAGGATGCGTGTAGTTGTTCGGTGTCCTTCGGGCGGGGAAGTGGGAGGCAGTGAGGAAAGGGGGTAAGGGTTTAAGGCAAAGCAGAGCATCGTCGTAAGGATTTTTGGCGCACCGACCGCCACGGCTCAAGCACTGCGCGACACACCGCTGACTGATTTCACACAGTCGGGGGAGCGGATGAGGATGTCAGGGCTTTCTTCGCTCCCTTCATCTCTGTAATGAACCTCTCAAATGCTCGGGCATCATCAAAGCAATCAGCGTAACCCTCGCCGAAGTGGGACTGCGCGAAGCGGAGCACTTTGGTAAGGCGGTCGCGGACATCCTACGAGGGGTCACTATTGAAACCAATCGGGGCACTATTGAAACCAATCGGGGCACTATTGAAACCAATCGGGGCACTATTGAAACCAATCGGGGCACTATTGTAACCCAGTCCTGTATGGCTTTCACCTGTGGGACACACGCTAGGATTTTCCCAGCCCTGAAGTCCAGCGTGTTGCCCCCCTTGGAGGCTTTCACCATCTCGTCCAGCGTCTCAAGGGTCACCAGCGGGGACAAGCACATCTGCTCAAAGTCGGCGCGCCCCCACTTCTGTGCGAAAGTTTGTAGGAGCAATTTGACTTCATCAGGGTCGGTCTCCGCAGACTGGACGCTTTCGTCCTCATTCTTTCGGCGCTTTCCGCCTCCCTTGAGACGCAACACAAGCACCACCTCCAAATCATGACTGTCGTCGTCAATGTAGTCCTTGAGGGTCGCGTTGATGGTCTCCATGCTTTGACCTCCGCATGTCAGGTAGAACAGTTCCGAGTTGAGCACGAACTTGCCAGCCTTAACATTGATTTTGTCGCTGACTAGGTCTTTGAAGCTCCTCACGGTGGTGTAGTCGGGGACGGCCAAGGTGATGGGGGAATTGCCTTTCATTGTAGTCACCTTCACATTTAGCATGATGACAGGGTCGGCCTCGTCGTCGTCCCACTTCTTCAAGAAGTCGGCGCTGAAGAGGTAGTCCCCGTTCTCGTCCAGCTCACAAAAGTCGCGGATGTCGTCCTCTGGCTTGCCCTCGTCAATCATGAGATGAATCTGTAAGCCCTCGTGGATGTTGGTCTCGCAGGCGAGGTTGTTGTCGGGGAGCTCCTCGCCGATGTCCTCTGGCACGGTGTCGCCCACGGCATAGGTGGAGAACTGCCACAGGTGGAGCTTCGCAATGTCAAAGCCCTTTGTGACCGCAATCTTCTCCTTCAGGTTCAGGATTGTTTCGTTGCCCTCAATCGGCAACTCAAAGATGTCCGTGACGATGCGGTCATCACCACCAAAGACTGTCACCCAAGTAGCAGGCTCGGTGTCACTCTCCTCACTTGACGAAACAGGCACTGTAGAACTGGAGGACGCCGAAGGTTTGGGCATCGCCTTACTGGAAGCACGCCTCGTAAGCATTCCCCAGTTTTCCTCAATCTTGTCAATGACCTCCTCTTTGTGTGCTTTGGCGAAGTTGGTCAAGCGAAGCCCCAATGAGTTGAAGAGGGTCTTCAGCTGGTCTCTGGTCATCTTCTGAAAGGGAGCCCTGTTAAATCGTGTCATGGCATTCGCCTTCAACTGCTCAACGGTGGTCACCATGCCAGCACGAACCTCAACTGGAATCGTGGCATTTCCCTCTTCGTCACGAAGAAAGATGACCACGCTTGACATAGCGACTACAACTGAACTTGCCGAAGGCTGAAAGCTGGGACTGCTGAAGTCTCAAAAAAGGCTTCGGCGAGTGCGTTCAATGCTGTCTCAATTAATGGACAGTCTTCAACACTCGCACCTGTCACTTGGCATTACAAAAAGGCAAGGCACACCGACACTAAACCCTAAACTCTAAACCCTTAAAACCAGTCCTCCCGACGATGAAGATGTTGTCGTCGCTGTAGCGCATCCGACAGGAGGGGCTTCTTATTCTGCTACCTTATCCCTAAACCTTATTCCTATTATAGATATTTTATTAGAGAATACCATTTCCATTTTCAAGGGTTAGGGATTTCAGGTTGGGCATATGGGTTTTTCTATGGGGGTGTTGGTGTATGGGGTTAAGGGTGGGGGTTTTCTATGTGGGTCTTGGTGTGGGTCTTCTGGTGGTTCCATGGTATGGGTCTTACTATGGGTATTTTGGTGAGTTTAGGGTTGAGGTATAGGTTGTTATGGTTTGGGTCATTGGGTGGCCTAGGGGGGTGGGCATGGTTAGAAAATGGAAATGGTATCCACTAACTCTAAGGAGGGTCTGGGTTAGATACCACGATCCCCCGCCGGTTGATGCAATTCTTCTGAACCCCAACACGCAAAAGAAGCGTGGTTAAATACACACACACACACACTGCCTCTTATATATAATTATATATATATATATACGAGTACCTGTCCTGTGAAGCACGGACTGAGGTCGGCGCCTCGCACATGGGAAGATGAACACTTCTCGCCAAGACGCGTGCGCGCCCTAAACCCCAAAGTAAGGAAGGGTCGCCTCTTGCCTCCCTGAGCCCCCCTGGAGAGGCCCCCTTGGAGGAAGGGACAGGCCGAAAAGAAAAACAATCAAGAGCAAGGGCCCCTCAACCCAGACAGTGGCCCAGAGGCCAGACTAGTATTTGGGAGAGCTCACCGGAAATTCTAATTCGGCTACGTTTCTGAACCTAAGAAGAATCGACTGGTGGATTTGGTTTGGGCAGCCCTGGCGCGTTCAGCTGACCCATGTTGCACCCTCTTTGCTGTTACATCCGGCTTGCGTGTCGCACCCGGCTGTCCCAATGCTGCACCCTGAACCCTTAAACGCCAATACCAGAAGCCCTTTTAACATTGCGCCTCGTCCTCACTGATCTCCAGGGCACCCTGGAGTTCTAACACCTGTCACGGCTGTTCTTCTGCAAGGGTTTCGGATGGTTTCGGGCTTCAGTTCTATGGAGTTTCGCTTCTCACGCTGGCGCGAGGGAGCCAATGTTTCGGAATTTCTTGATTGGTTTGCGCTACAGGCTTCTTTTCGGACCCGGCCCCGCTGAATCACCCAACACCCACCATACCACATGCTGCCCATGCATCAGACGTCCTAGGACTCCGGAGCACAGGATCGTGACCAAGTTCACGAGCTTTCCGCACCCCGAAACCAAACTCATCAGGGCTCTGCGTCTATCTCAGCGGGAGAACGCATCCGCGGGTGAAGGACTGCTTCAGTGGGGCACGGCTGCCTTACCAACCAATGAGGTCACTAGGCTATCTGCGGCCACCAAGCCTCAAAAGGCGGCATCAAGGGCTGAGGTTGCTTTTTTTTGCCACCTGCGTAGCTGACCAAGTCGCGCTGCAAAGCTTTACACGCGCGTTCTCTTGGAAAAGTTTGTGACTGCCGAACTGGTGTTGAAACACCCTGCCCTCTGGGAAAATATATCAATAACCCCAAAAGCAACACGACGATTACGCACACCCTACAGTAAAGACAAACTTGCATTCAAATCGAGGACTTACAGGAGGGCTTCGTCAAAAGCGCTCCCCAGCGGAGAGCGCGAGAGATCGACGGTTGAACTTTAGTTCAACCTTCCAGCTCGAATTCAAATGGGAGGCAAGACATCTTGCAGGAACAGCCAAGGTGAATGAATCATGAAACGCTCCAAGAACTAGTGCCTTCAAAGCGTTCCAGGCAATCGGCGCATTGCCGGATAGTGCTGCCGCCGAGTTTGGGTTTGACGTTCTAATCGAACAAATTTCCGCAGTGAGAGGCAGAGAGCACTTGATCAGACTGAATTGGGGGTCTTCAGGTGTACCAAGCTCCAACTCCAATCTCAGGGCAGGTCATTCAGCCAACCAGCCGAGGGCCATGCCGAAGCGGCGGAAAATGGGTTTAGGGTCTGAGGCTCAGGGTGTAAGGAGTGTAAGCTGCATCCCAGCTGCGTCTTCACGCCTATGAGTAAGGGGAGCAAGATGGGGGCCATCTGGATTTTTTCGGACCCTGAAGAGGGCCATGCCGGCATTCGCCGTGGTGAGACGCTTGTTAGCACCTTAAGGGGCGAGGGACTGAGGGTTCTTTATGGGTTCCTATGCACCTTTTGGGTTCTCAGGGTGTCTCATTTTCAGGGTTCGTAAACTTCGACAAGGTCGAAGCTGTACAGCAAACACTGACAGAGTCTCCACCCAATCATCCAAACAAGGAACTGCGAATGGGCTTCAGGGTGCCTTTTGATCTCACGCTGGAGACTTGAGTCCAGCGGGGCTCCTTGGTCATAGAACAATAAGGCTTTCTGCAGCTTGATAAATTTTCAGGCCTTTAAATGCATGATTAGAACAGGTCGTTGAGAAGCTCTGCACCAGGAGCCTCTTCGCAAGCAAGCGTTTGTGTTCAGGAGTTACTCTCCGTGAAACATAGGGCATTTCTGGGGGGCTCTGCGGCTTAGTGAGGGAAGCTACCCCCCCCACCGTTTACTGCCCTAGACTGCGGCTCTGCAGCGCTGATGCCTCGCTGTGCTGGTTCGAAAGGTCTTCACGCACGAGGCATCCTCACAGGTCGTATACCAGCCTGGGTTGTTGGATTCGCCCTGCTCGGAAGGTCTTGCCTTCCTTCCGGGCCCTGCGGCACTCCTGTTGAATGCGGTTTCGTTGGGTCCTGGCTTCTTGTTCGCCGCAGAGGTGGCAATGGTTGCAGGCTTCTCCAAGGCGGCAGCCGTCACCCGCCCGAAGGAAAAAGTTACATGGCACGCAGCGTCGGCTGAAATGTAGCGCAACCTTGTCCGCCTTCGTCAAGCTCCAGGCCTGGCTGCTGGGAGAAGTGGCCGTTGCCGTCGTTGCCGTGGCATAGGTCTGTTGCGGACGAGGGAGCTGGAGACGCGCAAGGAAGCCTCCTTGTCTGGCAGCTGACTCGCTAGTCCTGGAGGAAAGCCTGCAGGATTCCGCAATTCCCTCGGCCATGCCGACAAGAGCGTAGGTAGGAACACAGGATAATTGCGTTGCTCGTCTGAGAATGTCAGGCTAGCAGCTTGAGCCGAAGCAGTGTTTAGTGTTTAGGTGAGCTTATTCAGGTATTGGGGTATTCGGGGCTTTCCGACATTGCCAAACTGCCCCACGAAGATCCTTACACTCGACTCATCGAACATTCCCATCAGCCCCACCAATGATATTCTGTGTCCTAGTCGTTCCACATTCTAAAATCCTGATCAACAACCCTCATACCGTTTTTGCGCGCGCAGCTTCTGTATCTAGTGCCTCGAGGAGGCACGTCTCGGCTCGCTGAACCGCCTGCTCGGCCTAGGTTTGGGGGTGTTAGCATAAAAAGAATCGCAAAAATGATAACAACAATGATAATCAGAACAGTGACAGTAACAATCATACTACTAATAATCATAGCGAGCATGATAATCAAATAGCGCAGTGGCTTGGTTGGTTTGTGCTTGGGGCGCCTGGGTTCAAGGCTTTGAAGGGTTCGGGGCCTTATCCGGCTCGCCACCTTGGAAGCTTAAGTGCCTCTAAAGACCTCGCAGAATAGGCTTGGGAACGAAAAGCCGGAGCTCCGAACCACAGGGGCCCCAAGTTCTTGCATTCCAAAGCCGGGATCTTCCGGTGGAACGAGATCATGTGTGAAAAAAGCTTGGGCTGCAGCGGTGGGGATGAGGACGTTCCTCGCTTCCTCTACGCGTCTGGCTTCAAGCTATGGGTGAGTTTGGCTAGCCAGTGATGGGTTCCTGCAGCTCAAAGGCCCCAGTTTTGAGTGCATCGAGGCGATGCAAAGAGTGCCACAGGCAAATGAAAAAAGGCTTCTGGCTTCCAACCCCCCTATTTCCAACAGGCCTTGGCCACTTCGCCCTGAACCCCATACCGATTCCATATCCTGGAGCGCCCTCAAGCAACAAATCCCCTCTCCATCCCTAACCCCCTGAGCAATCGCACGTCCACGTGCGCCCCTTCTCAAGCTGGGTCACTTCTCGGGTGCAAAGAAGGACTTTGAAAAGAATCTTGAGCCTCCAAAGACAACTTAAAGAAGCCTCAGGCCTCCCGTGCACTCAGTGCACTCCCTTCTTTTGCACTCCGGCTGGCACAGGGTCTCGGCACAGCCCCTCCAGACAAAGGCCTGGAGGTGGGAAAGGCCAGGTTCGGGGGCTTTAGGCTGCAAGTCGTAGGCCTGTGCTTTGCGGAATTCTGGAATTCAGCTTCAGGCCAGGCTTCAGCATCTCGACTCTGCAGAGCTCTCGCCGGACATGCTCTCAGTCTGCTTCAAGCTCCTCTTCGCAGGTGAAGACCCCCCAAGCTCCGACTCATGCCTCCGACGCGGCGGTCAGGATTTCCAACGCCTTTGCGCGTGCCTGCCAAAAGAAGTCTGGCGTAAGGGCTCCGTTGTGGGCCAAAGACTACAGTGTGCCAGATTGCGAAGGTGCTCTGTTCCGACATGTTCTCGTCTTCTGGAGTGGGATTCGGAGATGTCCTCTTCAATAATCTTCACTAGGGGCCCGAGCCCTGAAAGTCTACCTTGAAAGCCATGGCATGCGAATTGTTTGAATTCTTTACCGGGACTCTCTGATGAGCCTGGGCCCTTTGACCTGACGGGTGCAGACAGGAGACCATCTCCCATGCCACATGCCTCCTCCAAGACTCTCTCTCTTTCTGCAAAAGCCCGAACCTCTCCATCCCAGCCATGCAGGCAAGCACCAGGGAGTACTGCTCAAAGGCGTCACACGTCAAGCGAGGAATGCCGGTCAGTGCACCCTAAAGGTCCCTAAAGCTTCCAAAGGCTACAGCCCCTCCTCACCTCGGACGGCAGCTCTTGCCAAGCCAAGGCCACGCGATCGTCCACTCCTTAGGACTTCAATTGGTCTGGATGATTTGCGACAAGGTTTATTGTTTTTTTTCGCCTTGGCCCTTGGAACGAAGGAATCCCAATCCGAACATGTTCACCAAAACAGTCCAGAGTGAAGCCCCAGCGGCCAAGGGCACCTGCTGTGGTGGCAGGCTCTTGCGGACATACGGCCCCGCCTTCGACCAGCCGAAGGCCTTCCTGTGCTCACGGACGCGAGACCAACAGAAATAACAAGAAAAAGAAGAGAAGAATAACAATAATCACAATAATTATTCTATTCAAAAAAGTGCAACACGGTTTTGAGGGATATGTTGCCAACACGATCAACGTCGGGCATCAACAACTCAATGCTCCCAACCCCTGTCGTTCTGCGGGTTTATGCATCGGTGCGCGTGAACAGTCCTCCACCGGCCACCAAACCTGATACCCCTTGATGGGGTCGAAGTTGGTCTGGCCGCCTCTGGCATCCAAGATCTTTCCTGTGCCGCGGGATGCGTCGGGAGTCGCTTTCAAAGGCGTAACGAGACTGCCTGAAACAGATTCCCGTTGTTGTCAAGAGGCGCTTGCTGCCCAGAAAAGGTTGATACTCCTCTGCCTGTGGCGGGCATGCATCATTGAACACTAAACATGCTGTGTGTCCCTTCCCACCGAGGTCCACTGAGCATCCAATTCCATGCTGGTAGAATCTGCTAAGCCTGCCGCAAGTCCTAGTTGCTTTAGCTCAGGCCCCAAGGGGAAAGGAAGTAGTGCGGGGTATAGTTTCGGAGCCCCAGGAGTTTCAGACCGTTCAAGTCGCAAGCCTTGAAAGCCAAGCCCTCGAAGACTTCGATAGACGACCCCACTGCCTCTCATGCCTCCACAAAGATGCTGAGATGCAGGGGGGTAATTGGGAAACGAGACGGGATGCCAAATGATGTCCCAAAAAGGTTCGTCGCCCCCCAAGCAAACACCAGACTGACCGGGACCTGGCCTGACTCACGTACTCGATTGTCCGCACAGCTTCGCGAGGAACCCAGTATATACAACCTTCAGCCGTTGCAAAGCGCTATCCTCAACATCCCTGAAGGTTGTCATTTTTGCTGATTGCTACTAATCATAGGGGCCGCCCCCAACTAGCATTGTGGCCAAAACCCGACCCCCCCCCCCCCTCTCTCTCCCCGCAGATCGTTCCCGCTTTCATGCCAGCCCTACTGTAGAAATGCCGACCTCTTCAGGATTAAGTGCAAACGCATCAACAAATATGCAAGAAAGGGATACAAGCAAAACGCCACAGGCTCCATGAAGGGCTCTATTCTACTTCCCAGCTTCAGGTTGTTTGGGTCAGGTGTGATCTTAGGCGTATTGGCTTCAAGTTTGAGTCTTGAAGGTGTTCATCCAAACGAACATGCCGGCCGAGTAAGTCGATCGCCCATGGAGAGAACACAAGCAGCGAGATGGCCGGGGATACTCCGGGCATACTTTTGCAGTGTTATACACAGAAGTGCCACTGCCAATCAAGAGCGCAAGGGGCGTCCCCGCTCTTTGAAATGCATCCTAACCCTAGTGCAGTGGCCCAGGTTACGGCATCAGGCATGCAAAAGGCCTCAAAGCTACGTTCTGCTGCTGAGGCCGGGTTCCAAGAACTATCAATGTTCAACAACGCAGCCCTGCAGGTACACTCCATCACAAGGTCACTCTGCACTCTGCACTCTACACTACACTGAGACATGAAGGTATCAACGCCAGAGGCTGCTGAGGGGCCGCGAGGGCAGTGTTCACATGCCTCTTGGAGAGCCTGGGCGGTTCTCTCTGCGTCTTGCTTGAGGCTTAAGCCTGAAAGGACATTGGGGTCGAGAGCTACAGAGCACTGATGCGCCGTGGGAAGTTCTCGATGCTTTGCCAGTGCAACTTCACAAAGGCGGTGAGGGTGTGCGGCACAGAGTTCTACAGCTCGAGCTTTGGCATCAACAAGCAGGCGCCCCAGGCAGACAGACAGAGAATATTCAGGAATCCCAGTGAATCTGACCCCCCCGAACCAAGTCCCCGGTACTCTGCCTCCTCACCATCACCCCATTGCGTGAGCACGCGAGCCGTCCTCCCGCCGCTACAGTTGTCATCCCCACCTCCATCGAGGTTTGGAGTCCGCTCGGGTTAGTAAGGGCAAGCTCACAATTTGCACATTAACACCTACACAAAGGTTCTGGCTCGAGGCTGCGCTGCACGAAGCTCGCTTGACGCCCGCTAGCTTACCCATGCTTTAGATTCAGCCAGTATCTGAACAAATCGGAATCCACGCACCAGTTCCTCTGCCTGGGTAGTCCACAATGTCAAATGTGTTCGGCGCAGCGTCTACGCAAATATTGCAGCTCGTGCATGCCACCTGGTTTTCAGGTTCAGGCTTTCCATGAAAAATCCTCCGTGTGGGCTAGTTGACTGACACTCTCCTAACGGCATGTGCCATGCCTTAGCAATTCTTGGCCGATATGGGCTCACAGGACAGGAAAAACCCCTGAAATGACTTGTGGAAGAGGAATGTCGGGAAAGGGTTTGGCCTCGTCCACAGCGAGGTACTGTTGGGCTGCATGCTTCTCGCCACGCTCCTCGTCCGCAACATTCTCCCACTCGTCATTTGCAAACTTGATGTCAGGTAAGGACTGCCACGTCTGCGGGTCATACGCCTTTCGCACAGTTTCGCCTTGAAGTTGCGCCTCGTACTCAATTCGACCCTCAAACGTGCTGAGCAGGTTCACGGCCTCAGAAAGCAGCGACGTCACTGCACTCCCACCGTCGCCAGCCACATCCGGATGACACACGCGGAGCAGGGCGCGCTGCCGCTGCTTTAGGAGATCCAGTGGGGCGGATGCAGCTTCGATTGCCGAGAGACCGAGGAGCTCGTAGAGATTCTGAGGCTCGGAAGGGCCCGCGCGCCGGACAGATCGCCTTTGGACTGTCCACCGGCGCGACCAGGCAGTCAAGACTGCAGACCCACAGCAGCCAAAGGCTGAAAACGGGGGCCATGGGCGGCTGCCAGAGTGCCAGGTAGCTCGGACGATTTCAGCTGGTGCTCGGTGCTCTGATGCATGGCGAGAGCTGCAAGTGACAACAGAAGATGCTGCGAAAGCCATGCTCATGGCCTGTGCAACATCGAGTATCTAGGCTCAAGGCCTCAGCTTCGAGTAAGACCATTTTAAGTGTTTATCAACGATGGACATGTTGTGAGACCTGTGCGTGGCACAAGTTCGGCTCCGTGCATGTGTAGCCAATATCCGAGGAGAACTGCTTTGGGATGCCTCGTGCCTTGAGCATGCACACTAAAGAATGTGCCGTCGAGGCAGAGCAGGGAAGCTGACCAAACAGCGAGGGGGAGCAGTGACTTGCGGCTGTGTGCCGGCTGCATTACAAGGGGACCTGAAAGCCTTCTCTTCAGATAGCCCTTGTGGGCAGTCCTCGATGTCCTCCGGCTCGAGCCAGAAAAGCCTGGCCAGAAGCGACGTTAGTGGTGAAGAAGTTGTACACATTTTGCCTTGCGTCTAAGCACCCAAAAACCCATCTGGTCATCCTGTCGACAAACCCGAAACTAGGCGGCTACTACTTCAACGTTAACATCCCCAGACCGGGCTAAGGCCTAAGGCCATGTTGTACAAGTCCAGCTTTTGCAACCCTGCATACTGATCAGACCCCCGGATCATAGGAACGAACCCGAGCACCTCCATCTCCACCCGGCACGTCTACACTGACGAACACCGCTTTATGAATCGAGGGCTCACAGGCAATTTCCCAAGCGTTGCCTCTGCTCAGAAGCTCCGCTAAACCTAGGCAGCATCCGACAGGGGCGAGGCTTAGGGATTCATGGGGCTTGAAAATTAGCTACTAGCGAAGTCTTGCAATATGTCGATGTCGACTTGGCATCTGTGCACCCCTGCCCTCCTCAGCAGGCTCTGGCCTCCGGACAAGACTCAGGAAAGCTTCTTGAACACCCAAGCCTACAATTACGGCCCCTTCCACATTGAATCACTCAAGGGGTAGGGGGACGTTTGTAGTAAGGATTTCGCTGCGTTTGCGACTCAAGCCCGCCAATCAACTGAACCAAAAGAAATCCCCTGCCACAGGAACCGGGCCGGAAACTGTTGAAAACCCGGGCCAAACCTCCACCACCCTAAGCCCTAAGCCCTAAGCCCTAAACCCGAAACCCTATGAACCCTAAACCCTAAACCCTACCAGCGCTTGAAGAAGTGGCTGCCGCTTCAGCTGCTGTAGGCGCTCCAGCCGGCTCCGAAGTCCATCCTCTCCCAAAAACCGCTTTCTTTGTTTGGTAGCCCTGCGACCTTCGAGCCTAAACTAAACTGCTTGCTGTTATTGGGGGGGGGCTTTCCGAAAGTACACGGAGGCTGTCTCTGAGTCTGAGCAACTGAGCGTCCGAAAGTAGGGGTACCCTATTTTGGGGGGTCCCTTGAGAGGGATTCTATTCTATTTGGGGTATACAAGGGGTGCCCCTGCTTGGGCAAATGCCCCTATCAGCTTCCATCTGCAGAGAAGCGGTCCAGAATGAAAGCACATCTCGCAGCCAACCCTTGCTACTGGTACGTAGCCCGCCTTCTACTTCAAGTTTCCACAGAATGCGGGCTGGCCAGTAAGCCCCTCAATGTCCCTCAATCCAGAGCCGGCTTCAGGGTGGGGGCAGCCCAGACATGGTTTGGATTCCGGACGCATGAGGGCTTTCCCCTAAACCCTAAACCCTAAACCCGCATAATTATAAGTACGCACCCCCCCCGAACCGATCCGGGCCAGACTTGCCGTTTCGTAGTATTCCGGGCCAGACTTGCCGTTTCGTAGTATTCGCGAGGATGCTACTTAGCGGAAGTTGCAGTATGGGATTGGTTGTGTACAGTCACAGTAACACGAAGGACGCATGGCGCAGGCCGAAATGCGTGGACTGTTTGCAACCGGCACTACTCATTTTTCCCAGAAACGCATCGCGGAGGCCAAAATACATTGGACAACACAGGCAACTGCTGGGTTTTGCTACGGGAACATATGCCCCGCAACCCTGAGTCCAGAAACCTCCAAAGTCCTCATCCGCTTCTGCACATGTTTTCCAGAGACCTCTCCCCCCCCCCCTCCGAGTGAAGTGAACGACATTCACAAATGCACAGTCGTTCCGAACCCCTGCACTGCCACCCGTCAGGAATTCGCAGACCCAGGGGGGAAGCTTTGGGGACTGATTCGTGTTGAGAGGGCTTTGCTAGGTTCGGTGGGCTTGCTGCCGCTTTTGGCACCTTTTGAGCCTGCAGGCGCCTTTCAAACGCTCATGTGTCTTGAACCCCTCCGATGGAGGGTCAAAGTTTAACCCTAAACTGTCCTCGAGTGGCGCCCGCAGCGCTTCAATGTCCTTCCTCCCTCTGCGAACCTTGCGGTAGTCCAGTGATCATAAGTTGCATTCATGTTGAGGGATGTTGAGGGTAAAGGGGTACAGGCTGGTGCGACCGGAGCATCCCGAAACTTTATGGCTTCAGAAATTCAGAACCACCTCCCCGAAAATTGACAACAGCTGAAAGGGGCCTCAGTGCCAGTGTGCCGCCTGTCAGGGCACGTTGCGTTTGCATGTTCTCACATTGTGACATGGAGTCGGGTTCTGGAGTCTGGAGACTCACTGGGGGCAAGCTTCGGCAGCTAGTTGGCTTCCGACATCAAATGTCTGCGTGGGGACGTGGTAACACTCGGTCTTGGGTTTGCGAGACGGGAGGCAAAGGTTAACTTTGGATTTTACTTTTATATGTTCGGGTGAATCTACTAGCGATTTTCACAAAACATTGTTCGACCATACAGTGAAACTCCAAAGTCAGAACAAAAGCCATACCTCATCATCGTGACCTCTCATAAACACAGGTTCAAAGGGCAGGGAGGCAGTTGTTGTGACAGCGGTTCAATGGGGATGTTGGGACTTTCTCCGGCATCTGCTTTTAAGGCGTATCTGGCTCGCCCATGTTGTTATGACTTCGGTGTTTCCCTGCAATCCACTGGACCCCAACGTTGCCGTGACCATCTGCAGCAGCTGGAGTTCACCCCGACCCGACGACGTATACAGCTTAGATTCTGAAACCTTTACATCCCAGATTCTCAAGCAGCTTCACCCTAAATGCTGCTGACGCTACGCGTTCCGGCACTCGAAGTCCGAAGCGCTAAATTGCAACTCCCCGTGTGAACGCCGCTAGCCGGAGGTGCCCTTGCCCTGTCAAGGCTCTCTATGGCCCTCAAAGTCAAAGCCCGATATCGAGATCACTAGGCAAGTCGCCCACACCTTCCTAGCAAAGGGGATTTTGCCAGAATGGCTGGAATAAGGGCAGGGAACATGCATCCTCGACACTCGGGAGCTCAAGTTGGGCCTTCGCAATCCCTTGGAGTGCCCCCGACAAGGTGCAGGTTAGTAACTGCTGCCATGCATGGCCAGGGCTCGTCTTCTTGGATCTATGCACAGGTACGAACCACCAAAGCCCCATTAAGCCCCCAGTGCCCAACCCGAAAAAGTCTGAAACACCCCAAGCCCTAAGCCTCGTAAGTTTTCGGAATGGGAGCCTCGTCTGAAGCCTGGTACGTATGCCATCCAAGAAGTAGCGTGCCTTCGGGCGGAGTAAGGTTCTTCAGCTCTTGGAGTGGGGACCCCCGGTTTGCAGCCAAGTTTGCTGGGCTATTCAGGACGCTGTCCCATTTATGATCGTGCTACAAGCGGGTGGATGATGGCGGCGTTGGGTGAAATAGCTATTTTTTATCGCTCACACGAGGTTTAGGGTTTGCAGCGCAAGTTTGTAGGCTGAGGACTCAAAGATTCTACAACTCGGGTCCAAGTTTCACTCGAACGTGAGGACCTGGAGTTGGAGCTGAATCGCTCGTGCTGGGCACGGAGAGGAAGCTGTTCTTGCAGCCAACTACGCGTGCGACGTAACATCCGACTTGCACAGGATGCATTGAACATACACTGTATGCGCGTAGGCACAGGGTAGGGCATTGAAGAGAAGCCACGTCTTCCCATGGAATTGATGCATGCTTGAATACAACGCTTGCTTTTTTCGCCTGCAATAGCGCTGTACACTCTGTCAAAGCTACTCGCGGCTAAATTGAGTATGTCTCAAGCAAGTGTCACTTTGACCACCACAGTACCGTGAGCTAAACATGACTGCGGATTCACGAGTGAGCTGCTGTGATGTTCACAGTCGTGGGCATTGTCGTGCTGAGACATACAAAGATGCGAGACATTGAAGACCCCTCAATGAATCTACTCAGCTCTGTCAAACAAATTCCACGCACCTAGGCTTTCAGCTCATGGAATCGAAACCGGTGTCGAATCATCGAAAGTCGAAAGGTGCAACAAAAGTGGTTCCGTAGCTCCAAGTAATAGGTCCTAGGACACGGCCAAACCATCCAACCCGACAAAGAAAGGATTGCCTACCTAGCTTCCGAAAAGTAGTGGCCTCTTCTTTCGGATCCGTTTCGAGGGGATTCTACAAGTCTTAGAAGCACAAAGGGGGCCCGATTTTTGGGAAGTCTCACAGAGTGGCGCCAGCAAGGAAACCCCAACAGCAAACAGAAAGGGCTGCTGTGAGTGGAGGCGTCGCCCCCGCGAACCCAAACCTGAAGCAAATACACTTAAGCTGCCCGTCTCTTTACTACGGCCCTCAAATTGAACCTCCAGGAATCCACTCGAACCCTTGAAATTTTTACTCGACGCTTTTAAAATAAAACATGGCCCCTGAGTAGCTCCACCCTAAAACTGGCCCTTCAAAGACCATCTTGTCAGGGAGGAGTCCGTCTTCGCTCCATGCTGGAAGCGGCTGGGGACTATCAGTGACCCGCTGCAAGGCTGGCGATGGAGCCTGAGCTTTGGCACTTGGCAAACACGGCAAAGGCGGCATGCTCGAGTGCATTCCGCGCCCCACAACGATCAATCACGAAGCAGTGCCGTTTCTCAAGAAGGGAGACCCTCCGATGCGCCTGCATGTCTGCCGTGTCCGAGAGGGCTGCAGAAGGCCGCTCGCGCAGCATGCGCCCCACGTTGAAGGACATCCAAACCAGCCTATACAAGGTTCTTGGGATTCTTGGGGTTTCCACTGCTGGGATGCGTGCGAATCTACCCTGC